TTTAATTTAGAAACAGCACTACGTCTTTATCAGCGCGCACACGAGCCAGCTGGAGCTGGAGTGAGCCGAGATAATCTGGTGGAACCTCTCTCCTCTCCTCCCCTCTCCCTCCAGCTCCCCACATCAGGCTGCCGCCGGGGATGAACGGACTGGACTTCAAGGGGGAGGCCATTACGTTTAAGGCAACCACCGCCGGGATAATTGCCACACTGTCTTACTGCATCGACCTGATGAGGCAGCGGGAAGACACATGGCACAGGAGACTTGAGAAGGTGGGTGCACTCAGCAATCTCTCGGCTCAAATCCTCCAACACAAGTACGTAATCTCACTGGAGGTATTTATGTCCTGGGAGGGAGGCTATTTCTAGGAAATGCATGTACAATGAAACAAATTGTTGCTTTTACATACCTGCCTAAATTTATGGACGATTTCAGTCTGAAAATACATGTACTATGTATATCTCACAGAGGGAAAAGGTTGTATGTATGGTTGTTCTTCGTGCGTAGACCCCGTAACAGTGTATATGTTGGTATGTCCGCAGCTGTTTAGATGTTACATGTACAAGCCTTTGGTTATGTATTTGCTCTTTGTACTGGATCATATCAAAAACCTCCCCAACCAGAAAAAAATCAGGATGACATTTTGCTCCCAGTCATTTTCTCTATGAGAAAGTTCTACATTCAGACATGACTTGTATTTATAAGAACATGCCTAATGTGCTTACCATGGCTGTGAGGTTAATGTGCCTCTGTACAGCTCAGTGAGCAGGGCGGCAAATGATGCTTCAGGGACAGATAAGCAATTATTATTGTGTAGTTGTTATGATATGGTTTCACATCAACAGCGTCAATGCCATGGCAAATCAAACAAAAATGATACTATCTCAAGCTATTGGTGAGAAGTAGCAAAGGTTCGGACAATTGCAAAACAAAGCCATGTACTCATTAGTTGATAAGATGCTATCTCCGGGGCCCAGATTGTTTTTAAAAAAAGACAACGTCATGAGCTATGCACCTGAATAATTTATATCAGCATTACTTGACAGATGCTGTTTGCCTCCAGCTTTATCTCCTAGGTACAGTAGTTCTGGCACTCCTGACATTTAGAAGATTTGTTTCCTTCCCCCTCCAGGGCACGCATGTCAGTTGAGGTTTGAAGGGCGCTTGATTGCTTTCTCAATAAAACATTCATGGCACAGCTGTACATGGAGGCAGCCCAGTCTTGTTATCCATGGCAGCTGATGCTGCACATAGCAAATCCCAGACGCTAGATTAGATTTTCAACCTTCATTATAAAGCATTTACTGTTGATTCTCAGAACGATGGTAGATTTGATTATATTGATTCTCTGGGATTCAAGCACAGATGTTCCACTGTCCTAACAAGTCTACATTCTTTGAGGAAGACATTGTAAGTGTAAGTGGGATTTATAGTCATAGTTTTGTAGATTACAGTAGTAGTCTATGATGCTCAGAGAATGTTTGGATACATAAAGTCAAAATTAATTGGTCGTAGTTCATTGGTAAAGCCTTAGTCAAGTATTATTGGCATTTGCTCTTTACACAAAGATGGTGTTTTTCTCCAGTGGCCATCTTTTTTTCTATTGTACAAGTGACTGTGGAAATGTTACATTGATAAAAGAACTGATGTCTAAACTTATATCCAGACTATGAAGTTATGTACTCTTCTGTTTTCATCCCAGGAACAAGAGCGGAGAAGACGAGCCGAGGATGCCTATAAGAGGTGTATGGAGGAACTTAAGAAGAAAGCAGCTATCGGAGGGCCTGACTATCAGGTCAGTAGATCCTGCCAACCAGAGATTTACAGCTGCTTTGATGGCCATTAAAGAGTGCACTTCATCGTTTTATATCTTACATATGTACATGTACTTGTGTAGACGTGGTTGTAGCCGTTGTGATGTTGCCTTGTGGTTGCAGTAAAGGCCCCACAGTGCCATGTGCTTTTAATTTTTTTGTTGTTGTGATGTTCCCTTGTGGTTGTAGGAAAGTACATGTGGTTGTAACTGTTGTTGAGAGTCCCTTTCCAATAAACTTGACTTGATGTTCCCTTGTGCTTGTAGGAAGGGCCCCACAGTGCCATGTGGTTGTAACTGTTGTTGTGATGTTCCCTTGTGCTCTTAGGAAGGGCCCCACAGTGCCATAAATGAGGAAGAGTTCTACGACGCTGTTGAGTCTGCCCTCGACAGAAATGACAAACTGGAGGAAATGGTACTTGTAAGCACTTTTTCTACTTTTTTCTTCATTTGTTTTCCCTTTCTCTATTCCTAGTTTGATTATATGTGCCAGACCTTGTTTAATCCTGATTTCATTGGCCTTTAACTTAAAGGGCCATTATGTGACATCAGGACGATCCAAAAAGTCTAATTTCTGGCCATTTCATCACAAAGTAAGTCGAATCAACCCTACCCAATTACATAGCCCCTTCAGGGAGTGAAAGTGTGACAATGTTGTGCCGTATGAATGTGTTGGAAAGCTGGGTACTGTTCACGTACGGCACCTCCTAAATACCTCATAATGGTGTTGTCGTGTCTTCTTTATTAACTTTACTAGTCTTTTAGACAGCAGACTTGTTCAACTGTTACATGTGCCATTATTACCACTTGTTTAATGTTCAGTTAATACGCATTTTGCATACAACAGTATAGAAGACTATTATCAGATTCCACTTTTTACTTCACCTGTTATGATATGAGAACACTATTCAAAAGATTGTTGTTTTTGTGTAGTCCAACCAGATCACAGACAGTGTTTCAGCCATGACAGACGCCGGGGGTCTGGCTCCATATCTGGCTGAGGTAAGTCAGAAATCCTTGGTTTCTTAAATGATTTTATGATGGCGGATATAAAAGTATGATTTGAAAGCTGGGTAGACAAGATGTTTATTGTCTTCGTCAGAAGGACTATGAAATTGTCTCGCCGGAGTGTGGGGAACTGCGGATTTTGCGATATAACTCTGGAAGGCATGATTCGACATCCATGATTTTTGGCAGGCAGATTACCGCTGTTAAGGCCGACGTCAAGTACAAGTTTTGGCTTCGTGGGGGGTCCGTGCGTCACGTTAGTGCACCTTTTGTGTTTGTGGCTTGTTAGCAAGATAACTCAAGTATTTGTAAAATGTTGATTATAATTCTTGGTGTGGTGCTTACTATTGTCGGGACCAAGGTTAAGTTCGTTACTGAGCTTCGTGGGGGGTTTCGTTGTGACTACAGGGGGCATTTTGTTAATTTTTCTTGTGAGCAGGATAACTTTTGTATGTGTGGATGGAAGTTAATGAAATTTGATAGGCATATTCCTGTCGTGGTCTCCAAGATTGAGTTCAAAGATGAGAGTCGTGGAGGTCGTTATGTCCCCATAATAGGACCTTTTGTGTTTAGAAATCCCCCACCTACATCTGCTTGGAGACAGCCGACAGCTGGATATAGCGGGGAAGCCCATAATGGGATGGGATCAAATGACGTTACATTGAGGGATTGTACTATAACTTCAGCAGGGGGAGGATAGGTTGGACATATGTCAGGTTATTTTCTACGGCCACACCAAGTAATTGCTATGGATGACGTCCACTGGAGACCTTAGATCTAATTACCTTAAATTTAAGGCAAGCGCGCAATAAAAACACGAAGGGCCGAAAAACGAGATGCCTAGATTTGGAATATACTAACTGTAGAAGTACAAATGTTAGGACACAAAGAACACAAGAAACAAGTCTTCTATTTGTCATAAAGACAAATTAACAAAACAGCAGTAGTCACCCTGTTCTGATTCTTTCCTTTATAACATCTTCTCTTATTATATTTTGCGGCGCTGTCGTGACACTTTCAAGACAGTAAGAATTTCTTGAAGGTTTTTTTTCAGTAACAGTCCAAACTCAAATAACGGGGGGGGGGGGCTAACACGGGTGACGACGCATCTGTATAATCTGCGGCAAACCGTTTCAGGGTGTTCTGTACCATAAAAATGTACAGTAGATTCTTTTGTTCTTTTGACCAAATTGATTATTAAAAAGAGTGAAGAATACGCATGTT